GTCCCATTCTTGTCTGATGTAGGATTCTAGCTGCTCAACAGTCCTGGGTCTATTTTGCCAGATTTTTTGTTTCATGATGTGCCAAATGTTTTCTATTGGTGAAAAATCTGGACTGCAGGCAGGCCAGTTCAGCACCCGGACTCTTCTTCTGTGAAGCCATGCTGTTGTGATGGATGCAGTATGTGATTTAGTATTGTCTTGCTGAAATATGCAAGGCCTTTCATGAAAGAGACGCTGACTGGATGGAAGTTTATGCTGTTCTAAAACCTCTATATACTGTTCAGCACTGATAGTGCCTTTCCAGATGTGTAAGCTGCCCACGATATAGGCACTAATGCAACCACAGACCATCAGAGGTGCAGTTTTCCATTTTGCCTCAGTCCATTTTAAATGAGCTTTGGCCCAGAGAAAACGGCAGCATTTCTGGATCATGTTGACAAATGGCTTCTTCTTTGCATGATCCAGCTTTGACTTGCATTTGTGGATTGTGCAGCGAACTGTGTTCATAGACCATGATTTCTGGAAGTGTTGCTGAGCCCATGCAGTGATTTCCAGTACAGAATCATGCCTGTTTTTAATGCAGTGCCGCCTGAGGGTCTGAAGATCGCAAGCATCCAGTATTGACTGTCGGCCTTGTCTCTTGCATACAGGGATTTCTCCAGATTCTTTGAACCTTTTGATGATATTATGTACTGTAAGTGGTCTGATATCCAAAGTCTTCACTATTTTATGTTGAGAAACATTTTTCTGAAATTGTTCCACAATTTTTAGATGCAATTTTTTGCAGATTGGTGAACCTTTGCCCATCTTTGCTTCTGAGAGACTCTGTCTCTCTAAAATGTGCTTTTTATACCCAGTCATGTGAGTTAGTTGCTGTTTTTTATTAGTACCACTTATGTTTCCAGCCTTTTGTTGCCCTGTCCCAACTTTTTTAAGAAGCGTTGCTGCCATTAAGGTCTAATTGAATTAATATTTTTCATGAAATGCTAAAATGTGTCACTTTCCACATCTGATACGTGTTGTATGTTTTCTTGTGAATAAAATATGGGTCTATGAAATTTGCAAATCATTGCATTCTGTTTTTATTTACATTTATTTACATTTTACACAGCGTCCCAACTTTTTTGGAATTGGGGTTGTAATGTTTCTCTTTACTATGACCTTATAATGCACTTACAATTCTAAATATACTGAAAATTTAATATTTTTTTGTCATCAACCTACAAAAAATTGAGGAACTTAAACACACAGTAAATACTATGAAACTAATTTATGTATTTAAAAAGTGAGTAATAAAAAAGACCTTTAATGTAAAATAAAATAATACTTTAGTTTGATGGTTGACAATCAAGCAGCCTATTATTCCATTTATTTCATTGTTCTTTGAAAAAGTATTTGAGATTTTAAATCCTGTTCATAGTGTAAGAGATACATTTAAACAGTATATTTTGAGACTGAGAGAAAATGTAAGATTATACAGCATTTACACGTTTACATACGGTACATACAGTAAAGAGAGGGAGAATGAGAGAGAGAGAGAGAGAGAGAGAGAGAGAGAGAGACAGTGAGAGCTTATTCTGGTAAAAATGACTGAAAAAGTTCACCCTTATTACCTCAAAGTAGTTTGTTTTGTTTAGAAAATGTCCAACAGACACTTTTCAGCACTTTTCATTTTCTGTCTTTCTCCACAGTTTCGGCAGTTCAGATGATTTTACCCTCAAAAACCAGAGAAGATTTACTACAGTGTATGTACACAATACACACACACACACACACACACACACACACACACACACACACACACACTCACACAATGTCTTTTCTTCTTAAAATGAAAAAAATTCTGAAAACAAAACCATTAAATGATCATGCTGTTTTCCTCTTTGTTAGATTTCTGTCGGCTGACTCTGAATCCCAGCACAGTAAATTATAACCTCCAACTGTCTGAGAAGAACAGAGTGGTGAAGTACACCTTGAAGATACATGGTTACCCTGATCATCCCAAGAGATTTGACTACTGGCATCAGGTGCTGTGTAAGGAGAGTGTGAGTGGACGCTGTTACTGGGAGGTTGAGTTGAGAAGTACTGGTTATGAGCTGTACATCTCAGTCTCATATAAAGGGATCAGCAGGAAAGGACGGGGTTATGAGTGTAAGTTTGGACACAACAGTCAGTCCTGGAGTCTGGACTGTTCTCCCTCTCTCTCTTTCTATCATTCAGACTGAGATCTCAGCCTCATCACCCTCCAGAATAGGAGTGTATGTGGATCACAGTGCAGGAACTCTGTCCTTCTACAGCGTCTCTGACACAATGACCCTCCTACACACAGTCCACACCACATTCACTCAGCCGCTCTATGCTGGATTCTGGGTTGATGGTGATATTTGTGGTGGAACTGTGAGGTTGTGTGATCCAAAATGATGTGTATGTTGTATTTTGTGGGGACCTCGTTAAAAAGTTCCGACCCCTTTTGTAGGGTGGGTTTGGTAATCTGAGGTATTTGAGTCCTAAAGAAACTGAGATAATGAGTCTAAAGTCTTTTCAGTAACAGAGCTGAATGAAAATATCAGTGTAATGTAATGAACTGTACTTTGGAGAAAAGTGTAAAAATTCTGTATTCTAATCACACTGAGCTACAAACTCTCACAAACATGAATCCTGAAAGTGCTGTAATGAAATAAATGTGATCAGTGTATCTCAACAGCTGGTGTTCAAATTGTGTCCTTGTTTCCAGGTTCTACTCCAGCATCTTATAGTGAGTCTCACTGCAGCTAGATTTCCATGGACTTTATAAAAAATGTCCCTGTGCTTACCTGCCAACAAAATGTTTTATAATTGTGGCATGCGCCCGGCCCCCGGGCCCCGACGATGACGGCTGCGAGAGCCGGCAGGAAGGCGGGGCCCGAACACACAGCGGCAACGAACCTTGGCGAGGACAGCAGGGAGAGAGCCGCGAGTGTGGAGGGGGCGAGCTCTCCTTCCCTCTCGGCTCAGGTGTTCACGCTGCCCTTAATGAGAGGCAGCTGATGCTGATTTGACTGGCAGCGCGAGCGCCTTTTAAAAGAGCTGAGAGGGAACAGGGTAACAGAGAGGAGGCCCGGCAGTGGCAGTGGCAGTGGTAGTGGTAGTAGTGACTGAAGAGCTGAAAAGCTTGAAGAAGACTAAAAAGTCTAGCTAGCTTAAGCCGCTGAAAAGTGGCCAGCATAGTTTGAGCTGTTTGCCGTTTGTTCATTTGCTTTGTGTGTTTTTGTTAATAAATATGGCTGCTGCAGCACTGCCTTCAGCATCCTCCTTGAGCCTGGGGTAGCATATGCTGTACTACAATAATATTTTATGTTTTATAAAAATGTTCTACGTAAAGATACCATTTAATGCAAGAAACTCATGAAAACATTTTGTTTTAGTGAATAAAAATTTGCTTTCCATTTAAGTTCTCATTTATACAGTAAATTTGTGCAATAATTTTTCCAGTTTAGAAGCTTCAATGCGTTAGATACTTGTGTGATGAACTTAACTAATTGGTCTCTTTGAAAAACATTAAAGTGTTTGTGTCTAAAGCTTTCAGCTTGTTGGAGATGCTACACTATTGCATGGATCAGTAAAGTGGAAGTGAAAAGGCTCTAATTCAGCTTAACTCATCATCTCTGGTCAGTTTTCTACCAGGACGTTTAGCTCTGCATGTCTCAGATGGTGGTCCTCTTTGTGATCTTGTGGGTAGCTGCTCTCTCTTTGCACCTGGTGAAACAGGGGATTATTCAGATTGATGGTCTCATCTTCATGCTTGGTGGTGCTGCTCTCGTCCCCCTCCTCAGCCAACAGCGTGTCTCAGTGGCATTTGGAGATTGTTCTTTGAGTTCCAGCCGCTGGTTTCCCTCCAGCCAACAACGTTCTGGATAAAACCTAGGAATCCACAAATCCATCAAGGAGAACCAGGGCAAGATTCTACATCAGGTCAAATAAGAGGAAGATGCATGTTTCACTGGATTCTTTTACATAAGAACTAAAAGACTCTTTATCTCCTACAATCTGGACTCCAGAGACGGACTTTGACACAGTGCTGTGCTGCCCCTTTGTGGTGATGTAGAGTAATGCATTATCACTCTGCTATAAAGAATGAACAGTCATCCCCCCCATCTCTGGAACTTTATCAGTGTATAAAAAAAAATTTTAGAATGGAATTTTTCACCTCATGCATTTGCCTTACAGTTTAAAGCTTCTGTTTAATAGAACTGTAAGTGGAGGTAAAAGAGATGCAGTACTACTGCAGCTCTACTTCCACTGAAGCATCAAACTTCATTCATCCGTTATTTTCTTAATCATAGAAACAAATGCTGCTGTTGATAAATCTCGTACTTTAAGTAGCCAAACATAATAGACTGACTGAATTAAACCAACAGTATTATCACAAAAGCAGTTTTCTGTAGTTTTCTGTTCCAGATGTCATTCGGTTCACTGAATGGATTGTGTGGTGTTTGATGATGTACAGAGACTGAAAATTAACCAAACCTCATCACATTTGTACCTGGATCCCACTGAGACCAGTTAAAATTTTTATGACTCCAATAAAGTTATTGTCAGTTCAAACAACAGTTAAAGAAACAGATTCAAATTCATGTTAAATGTGTGAAAAGAAGAATTTTAATATTAGAAAACAACACAAAAGGTTCAAACACACTGGATTCAATTAGACTTACAAACATTCAGAACTCAGTCAGAGTAATTTGTCAGTATATAAAATGTGCCAGTTTAGCTTTTTAACTTTCTACTCATTCAAACTGGAGCAACACCGACTTTAATTATAATAGAATTAACATGTAACTTCATAAGTGAACTGTCTGCTCCACTGTATAGACTATTTTGGTCTAACAATCGTTTCATTAATAAGTTCTGAGTTAGAACATCTGTAGACATTGAGCTTGTAATGAAAAAAATAATCATTCAGAGTTCTGACCAATCAAATCCTTCCACACGTAGCCACTCCCACTCTGCTGCTCCTTCATTTCAGAGAAAACGAAACTGATCTCAGAGAGCTGCTCTCTCACAGCCTGTGAGGGCAGGAAAATGGCCGAGGCCAGTATTTCAGTAGATCAGGACCAGTTCAGCTGTCCAGTCTGTCTGGATCTGCTGAAGGATCCAGTGTCTATTCACTGTGGACACAGTTTCTGTATGGTGTGTATTAATGGCTGCTGGAATCAGGATGACCAGAGGGGGGTCTACAGCTGCCCCCAGTGCAGAGAGACTTACACTCCAAGGCCTGTTCTACGCAGAAACAACATGCTGGCTGAAGTGGTGGAGAAACTGAAGAAGACAGAACTCCAAGCTGCTCCTCCTGCTCACTGTTACGCTGGACCTGGAGATGTGGAGTGTGATTTCTGCACTGGGAGAAAACGCAAAGCCATCAAGTCCTGTTTGGTGTGTCTGGCTTCTTATTGTGAAACTCATCTTAAACCTCACTATCAGTCTCCTGCCTTTAAGAATCACAAGCTGGTCGAAGCCTCCAAACAGCTACAAGAGAAGATCTGCCCTCAACATGATAAACTGATTGAGATCTACTGCCGTACTGACCGGCAGTTTGTCTGTTATTTGTGTACGATGGATGAACACATGGGACACAGTACAGTTGCAGCTGTAGCAGAAAGAAAAGAGAAACAGGTGAGAAGTTTGAAATTCTGATCTAGAATCTGATTCTTTACTGAATCACACACTTTATACAGGTGATCTGTTTATGGGATGATATTGAAAATGTAGGTGATTTTGGTAGGAAAGTGTTGAACCTGACGTTACTTTTTGTTTGCAACAAACTAGTCAAACAGGTCAGCAAACCTGACCAGCCAACGCCCGTCTTCCAGCATATTTACAACCTTATTGAGCTCACGTGTAGAACTAGAGTGAACTTTGACTCTTCAGCCGCTGTTAATATAAACCAGAATACAAATTCTTTCTCCTCAGAATCAGCTGAAGGAGATGCAGAGGAAATCTCAGCAGAGACTCCAGGAGAAAGAGAAGAAGCTGCAGGAGGTGAAACAGGCTGTGAAGACTCTTAAGGTGAGTAGTGAGCAGAGATCTGCTGGAGCAGCTGTTTCACAGCTCAGTCAGACTCTCCTCCAGTCAGACAGTGAGGAGTCCAGTGTTGGACACTTAGAGATCCTACACAGCCACAATGTGGACAGTGAGTCATCTAGAGTCCCAGTGAGAGAGTGAATGATAGCTGGTGTGTAAATGGAGCTCCATCTTGTGTGTGTGTTGTAACAGAGCTCTGCACAGGCAGCAGTGGAGGACAGTGAGAGGATCTTTACTGAGCTGATCGGCTCCATTGAGAAAAAGCGCTCTGAGGTAACAGAGCTGATCAGAGCTCAGGAGGAGGCTGAACTGAGTGGAGCTGAAGAACTCCTGGAGCAACTGGAGCAGGAGATTGCTGATCTAAAGAGGAGAGACACTGAGCTGGAGCAGCTTTCACACACAGAGGATCACATCCATTTCCTCCAGGTAACCA